AACCTACTGTCAAAGAATGGCTACAGAAAGTTCTGTAAGCAGAAGTCAATGATGAAAGAAGTCTTGGGATATTAATAAGAAAGGAGGAATGGAAACCTGGCAAAAGGATCAAGGCCGCTGTCCACATTCTAAGAAGCAAAAGGAACATAAAGCGGGAAATACCAGAAGCTATGATCTATCCCAAAGGTACATGGTTCAAACCACCAGCTGCTCCGAGGGAGAAGGATGAGCGCTCTCCTCCCACGTGATTTACTGTCTCGGAAAACCCATTGGAGGGTCAGCTATGGGCCAGTTCCAACAAACAACAACCAGACTAGCCTAGAAAATAGACTATCTAGTCCCCTACACTCTTCTCCAGGGCACAGCTAGGCATTGTCTACAGTTGCCTCAGCATATGATACTGCTATTCCCATGGTCGTTGGTGTGGACTGTATGACTCAAAGACTCTTCTAGAGGCTGTTACTTTGGATAATTTCCAAGGTGAGGGCTAGGTCTCTTCTAGAACTAGTATGCTGGTGTTGTTTCTTTGGCCCGAGGGCCTGGGACTGAATGTCTGGGACTGAATGTCTCATCTTGGATACCTGACTGTTAATGAAGCTGGTAGAATTCTGGGAGAATGGGCATTACCGAATTAGGAAGATTAGGCATGTGTCAGGGATATGTACTATCTCCATAATATAGTTAAGAACTGCAGTCTTCAATACGGATTGAAGTTCAACATCAAGAAGACAATGATTCTCACACTGGGCCAACTGGCAGCACCATGATGGATGGAGAAGAGATTGGCTCCACAATCAATGTTCTTGGCACCAGAAGTCAGGAAATCAAAAGATGAATTGTACCGGGAAAATCTGCTGTCAGGGACTTCTCCAGAGTGTTGAGAAACAACAATGTCAGTGGAGACTAAGGTGCGCCTAATCCAGGCCATGGTCTTCTCAACTACTTCTTATGCTTCAGAGAGTTGCACAATGACTAAGGATGACAGAAGAAGAATAGATGCCTTTGAGTTGTGGTGCTCGAGAAGAGTCTTGAACATATCCTGGACCACTAAGAAAACAAATAAGTCTGTCTTGGAGAGGGTGAAACCAAGTTTCTCCTTGGAGGCTAGCATTTCGTAGCTCCATCGTACATACTCTGAGCATGTGGTCAGGAAGGAGGTCCTTGGAGAAGGACATCATACTCCGAAAGGTAGAGGGACAGCGCAGAAGAGGAAAACCTTGGATGAGATGGATTGATACAATAACTGAGGCAATGGGGGTAGGTGTGTTGGAGTCAGCAAGACTGGGTCAGGACAGGGCAGGCTTTAGGGCTGTCATACTCATGGTTGTTATGAGTTGAAGGTGACTCCACAGCACACAGCGCCAACAACAACTATATGGTAATGATATGACTCACTGTAGCCACATCCTGTTATTATGAGACTCTTATACATGTGAAATTTGGACAATGAATAAGGCTGACAGAAGAAGAATCAATGCCTTTGAGCTGTGGTGTTGGAGAAGCGTACTGAATATCTCATGGATTGCCAAGAGAGCAAACACATCTGTCTTGAGAAGTACAACCAGGGTATTTCTTAGAGGTGACGATGATGAAGCTTCATCTCACATACTTTGAGCATGTTGTTGGGAGGGGCTAGTCCTTGGACATCAAGTTTGGAGAGGCAGAAGGTCAGTAAAAGACAGGAAGACTCTCCAGGAGATAGATTGTTACAGTGGCTTTAACAATGGACTCAAGTATGTCAGAGATGGTGGGGAGGCACAGAACAGGGCCAAGTCAAGATCTGTTGCTATGTCACAGTCAAGTTTATGGTATAAAGCAACATTAACACATGCATTTTTCACAGACTATTACTAACTGTTCTAAACTGTCAACACAAGTGCTAATGAACACTGAATTTCCTATGGCCAGTTTAGGAGTGTGTGTGCCATTATTAATCTCTGTTGCTTGCACTGGGATTAATGACATACTTAGCTGGTTTGGCTTGGATGGTGAGCCCCACATGGTCTATTCTTCTTGAGAGTATGAACAGCTTCCGGTCACTCTCATATGATATTGCCCAAGATAAATGGAATACCTTTGTCGAAGCCTCTGTGAGTGTTTGGTGGCCTAAGAGGTGAGCTGAGGTCCTGAGACTTTGTAGCTGATGTGTAGAAGGCTGGTGAGGGAAGCTGTGGAGGAGTTGCTCTGCCAGGGTGCCCTGGCAACCTTTCACATATCTCCATGGGCAATGCAAGCTTGAACCACAAGTTATCTGACTTTTGCCAAATCACCTTGTAATCCTTCTAGAGCATGAGAAAATGAGAGGAGATTTCTGAGGCCATTTCCCATTCTCCTGTCTCCCAAAGGAGGCTTGATTTATTCACTCTTATTCACTGCTATTAAGTCTCTTCTGACTCATAATGACCATCCATCAGATTGTTTTTTGTTTTTCAATAATAGGATTTTTTATTTGAATTGTGATTTTTAATGAAAGTTTACAGAAATGTTGGATTTTCATTCATTCGTTGTTGCCCATTTTCCTCCCTCCCCCTCCCTTCCCTTTCCCCAGTTCACGTGTTTTTTTTTTTGCTTAAATTTCTTATTAATGTCAATGAAAATTTACAGAGACTTTGGATTTCAATTCATTCATTGTTGCACTTTTCTCTCCTCCCAACCCTCCCCCCTAGTACACTCCCTTCTTGGAAAAGTAAAAGAAAAATTCTTTCATTGTTTTACAAACCCTCCCCCAGGTCCACTCTACTAAGTAGCCTTTGCTCTGGACTCCTGTCATGACAAAAATACCTAATCACATATCCCTTTTAAACAGTTTTCTCCCTCATCTGTTTCAATGCAGTACACATTATTGAACCCATCTTTCTCAGTCTCCCACCCAACTCCGATGACAGTCCTGTTTTACAACAGTGGCACCATGCAGTATTTGTCCTTTTGTGATTGAGATATTTCATTCAGTATAATGTCCTTCAGGGTCACCCATTTTGAACAATATTGCATGAGTTCCTTGTTTTTCACTGCAGAGTAGTATTCCATTGTGTCCATCAGATTTTTAAAAATTTTATTTTATTATTATTTGTGTGTGTACCGTCAAATTGGATCTGACTGGTACAGGAGGAGATTGTCCCTCCTTCTCCAGCAGAGCATCTGGTGGATTCTAACTGCCTACCTCTGGGATTGCGGTGCAGCTTCTTGCCACTAGGCCACCAGAGCTCCCCAGATTTTTGAAACTAGAAATCATTACAGAAGGAGACTGCTCATCTTTGTCCTGGGGACCAACTGGTGAATTCGGACCGATGACCTTTCAGTTAGCACCAGTACATGCTATGCACTATGCCACTTCTATGAAAATCCTTTTCCAGATTATAGTCCCATGTAGATATAGTTTATCATTGGCTCCTGAACACATCGATGTGACCACATCTCACATTGCAGTCATCCAGCCCCTTTTGTTTTGACGTCATTCGTTTTTTGGGGTGTGGTACAAGGACCTGGGGAGTTGGCATATCTTGCCACTCTTTCTTTTGCTGTCCGTGTAAGTAATGAATAGTGTAAATCCAAAGGTGGCTCTGTGTATTTGTATTGGTCAACACAGTCAGGCCTCGACCTTTCCTTTGTCTGCTACTGTGTTTTAGACAGAACAATGGAAAGGGGGAAAATATGGGTAAATATGATAGGTTATCCATTCGCCTCCTAATTTCTATATGTTTTGGACAACACCACTAATCAGAGTCACCTTCCTTCTGGTGAACAATTATTTGGTAACCAAGCATCGTTAAGCCTCATTGCTCAAGCAGCTCATATCTGATAATCATTTTGTCTTGCAGTTCAGTTTTGTCTTTTTCCCAAGAAAATGATGAAAACTTTTATTGTATGTTCCACTACCTCATGACTTTCTCCATTGGCATAAGAGTTTCTGCTTCCTTCTCAGCACTCAGTGTCCTTTCATGCTCTTCTCCTATGTTGTTGTTGTTGTTATGTGCCGTCAAGTCGTTTA